TCCCTATTGATTTTAAAGGGTTTTAGGTCCTGGAGCATGTCCACATGCCACTATAAATCCATTTTTGCCTCAAAACTGTGAAATTGGAACTCTAGGAATAAAGCAGATATGAATATTTTCTAAATAATTAACATGAAAAGAGTTTATGTAAAGTTGACACCTTAAAATGTTGAATTAAAGCGCATATCTAAAATCCTTCAAAAAAAGTTGTTTTGATGTTGGAAAAACATTAAATTGATCATCTAGACATTAGGATAAATAGATATAGAAAAGGAAAAAAAAAAATTTAATAAAGTGTTAAAAAAAATACATCTTGCTACACGTTATCTGGACTGTCTATTTTCAAGATTTTCATGCATCTGTAGATCTATTTGATTTTGAACCATTTTTTAAATTTAAAATTTTATGGTTAGAGAAAAAAAATAGATTATTGTACCATCCAAAGAAATTTCAACATAAAAAATTGGATGTGCACCCTATTTTGATTGTTTAAGTTTATAACCTTATACAAACCACCCCCAATTAAAACCGATGATAAAATAAAATGATTATCTAAAAGAGACCATTTATCTTTTATGCATGGAAGTTATTATCATTATTGTTCCTTAAATTTCAAAATCCATTAAATGTCATTGATTATACACAAAGTTTCAAAAAAAAATTCTTGGACTTCGTGGCTCACTTCAAGCCATTAAATTTGACATTTAATGAGTGAGAATGATTGTGATCTCCATGTACAAAAGATAAAGGGTGTTGTTTGTATACAGCCTAGGCTAGGCTCTAAACAATCAAATTAGAGACTACCTTCAAATAGTATCAAGAAATGTGATTTCAATACTGGAAATCTTTGTGATAGCCTTAAAATATATTCTCATCTTTATTTATAAAGTTTAAAGCTTTAAAAATAGTGTAGATCGATAGATCTATGAAAACTTGAACATTTTGAAAATTGAGGTAAACAAATACGTTACAAAATACCCTATTTCTAAACTTGAAATTCATTTTTTTTTTTTTTTTTTCATGTTTATGCATCTTGATGTTGAGGTGATCAATTTGAGGATATTTGGGTATTAAAACAACTTCTTCTAGTGAAATTTTTGAGGTAGGTTCAAATTTGATTGTTTAGTGCTTCGGCTCCATGTAAACTTTTCCCAAAAATAAATTATTTCTTTGCAGACAATCCCCAACAAAATACAACTAGACGCCTTTTAAACCCCATATTCTTTTATTTTTCTTTTTCAGATTCATAATCATGATGGTCTTGATATTTCAGGATAAAGTTTTGAATCCAAAATCTTGATATTTCAGGATAAAGTTTTGAATCCAAAATCTGCCTCCAAAATAAATTTAGCCGGGGGGGGGGGAGGGGGACTCACTACAACACGTGTTGCCACCGTTAAAATATCAAGCATCCAAACTGTCGTAGCTCATTCACCCCAAACTTTTTCCCCTAAAGCACAAACAAACATGCCCATCACACCTACACATATGACCCAATTCATTATTATTCCAATTCACTCTATCAAGTACATGATCTTTCTAAGCACTTTTTTTCCGCTTTATTTTTTCTCTTTTCTTTGTTTAGATTAGCCTCGGATTTGAACTTTGTATAAGATTACAATTTTTATTGCGTGAACTTTATTATCATCTTATCTTTTTTCTAATTATTTGGGGTTTAGTTATACGAATTTTAGTATGTCATTATGCTCAATCAAATATCATACTTTCAGTCAGGTCATGAGTCCCCATATTTCTCACACTTAACCAAATGATCACTTGGCCTGATTTTAAATGTTGGATCCAAACAAGGATAGACAATAAGGTGAAAAGGTCCTAACAAGATATCGCTATGAACAAATATTTTATGCTTGGGCGTATGCAATCCTACAGTGCCATCAAATATTTTATGCTTGGGGGTATGCAATCCTACAGTTCCATCCCTTGAACTATCAAACATCCATCTTTAAGATTGATGTAAAATGGTGGTCCCTCAAAAAAAAAAAAAAAACGAGAAAACCAAAGGTCTAATTGTTTTTTATAATTTTAATTTTTAAAATTATCTATTTATGCACATTAATGATCTCCATATTAGAGATCATACGTTTCCTAAAAAATTAGGTCCAAAATCCAACCAAAAAATAGATCATGAAGAAGGGATGCAGTTCTACATATGAGTCTGGGGACTTATAAAAACCATGTCCTATAGCTAATCAAGGTAATCTATCTTTTCACAACATCGTTCCTAATTTTAACTTCAGATAATTTATTTGTGTAGAAGTAAGTGTTTATCCTCGAAAATTTTGTAAAAGACTTTGGTCCCCACCTCGTTTTAGGGCGTAAACTTGACGACAAGCTTTGTGGGGTGGTCTAGATACTAGGGTACGGTCCTTGGGGTTTTGGTTGGTTTAAGCTTTAGGGTACAGGTGTACTGATCGGGATTAGGGTGTCTACAAAAAGTATACTTTGAACCATTCTAACTTCATGTCAATATTATTTAATGTTGCATAATGTAACACAATAAAAGGGAGTTGGCCAGTTTGGGTGCCACCAATCACCATATACACACCATCACCAACGGTTGGCATTGACCCGGCATTTGTACATCTCTTCCCAAATTAAAAATGCAACAGTCGGTTCTTTAATCCTAGAGTGCCGAGCCACTAAGTTTGAATACTTTGAAGTTATCCTAGATTGCCGAGCCACTTGGTTGGAATACTATGAAGTCTGAAGTTTAAATGATATATGGCCCGACCATTTATGCACCTTAATTAGGGTTTAGGTGGTTTTTTTTAAAATGGTAGGGGTTTAGGCGCATTTTAGAGGTGGCTTTAGATTTGCGTACTCAACAGGGCTGCTTGACAAAGATTATTTTAACTAGAAAATAAATAAATAAATAAATCTTTAATGTTTCTTGAAACTTCCATTCGTTGATCATAACCATAGCCCCCACAAAATTTTTTTTAAAGGGTGAGGTTTGTATAAGGTTGTCCCCTTAGATTATAGAAGCAATGGGCACCTATAAATTTTATTTAGAGATGCCGTTTCGTTGTCGAAAACCTTATCATAGCTTCAAAATCTCTTTTCATTCTCAGTTATAAATTTTAAAATTTTAAAAATAGTACAGATGGAGCATATCAAGAAACTCTTGACGATCCAGATAGATTATACAAGATGCACCATGTCCATTCATCTGAAGGTCGAGATGATCAGTTGGAGGGTTCTCTTATGCCGGAACACTCTCCACTGTAGGATTTTTAAGGTGCGCCTTACTTCAACAATATAAGGTATGCAACCTTATATAATTTTTTTCCATTTTTAAATTGACCTACTCCACCCAAACAAAAAAAAGCAAAAGATATACATCGTTAGAGAGATCTCATCTACTATTGCAATATTAACTTTTTTGTTTCATTTGATAAAGGTACTTTTATAAATAAAAATTATAATTGAAGTTTAAGGTTGAGAATTCGGAATAATTAGAGTTATTTTAATAATTTGGCCCAACTTAAGTGGCTCAAGCTCAATTAAAGGAGTACCCCTGTCTATTTTGGTTTGCAGGTACAAAAAAACATAAAATTCAAGAATGCTGCTAACGTAGAACAATCATGGCTATTTAGTCATGTGGAAGTTCTATTTTCCCAACTCTGAACGATCTAAGTTTTTATTATTATTATTATTTATTTATTTAATTTCATTAGGTTAAATTGTCACAAAACTCTTAATGATGGGTCAGATCGATTCTTAATTCAAATTGACCGAATCACTTATTTTAGAAACCTGAATCATAAGTACCTACCATTGCGAATACATGATCACATCATGCATACGAAACTTGTGTATGTGCATGTGTATAAAGATGTGTCCACATTTTCCCATCATAGCGTCTAGTGGGAGCAACCGCAGTTTGTTTGTTAGGGAGAGAAAGACATATAGTAGCGTAGAGTGGAAGGTTGGACACATAAAAATATTATGGGAAGAAATTACTAGCCTGTCCTTGCTCTTTTAAAAGACATAAAATGCCATTCTTTTACTTGTAAGTTATTGGGCAAATTTTACAATATTTCAACAAAAGGAAATAGGACCCTTCTCTTTCCATTGAACATAGCCCAAAAAAAGGATGTTATGGGAGAATACCAAGACATAAGAAGCCATGATTCTCAAATTCTCATGTATTAGGAAATTTTTATATTATTTCAACATATGGTAATCTGATATTTAATACAATTACTTTTTTGGAGCAACGTATTGGTAATGTATGCAATGATTATGCTTACTTTTGGTACAAAACACACATAGATCACAATTGCTATTGACTATTAGTTGAGAAATGGAGTGGATAAGGATGTGTCATTTAATTGGGTTCAAGTAAAATTTATCGAATGTTGTGCCGCACTTTACCAGGGAGGATTTCACATCCAATGGCCGAGACCAGTTGTATCCTCCTTGACTTAAAGTCGATGATGCTATTAGTTGATCCAGATCAACTATTTGAGATGTTATTATGGTGTAAGCTAACTTTTTAATGGTTTAAAAATCTATTTTCATCCCTAATTATGAATTTAAAATATCAAAAAAGATAGGACAGAACAGATCTATAGATAGTCAAGCACTTTGTTACAAGATCCACTAGTTTTAGATATTGAAATTCTATGAGTTGGGATTTAAATGTCAAAATACTATTTTATAAAGAAATTTGGAGGTGACTTTTACTCGGATGGTATACAGTTTACACATTATATAAACTTTCTTCTTAATAAATCTTCATAATTTTTCCCTTGTTTTAATGGCATACATGGTGCTGATTAGGTTAAGATGGAACAATAATAATGAATATCCAGCCAATTTTTAGAAAATACTCTCCTATAAATAAATACTCCCTTATTAAGAAATTTGGAATATAAACTTTTTTCTTATTAAAAATGAATAAATTTTCCCTTTTTTAATTGCATAGATGGCCCTGATTGGGTTAGATGGTGCAATAATATGAATATCCAGCTAAATTTGGGAAAGGAAGCAAAGGGCTGTATCCACCTACCCTTCACCTGCTGTCACCCATTGGCTTTGCCTTTGGCTTTCACATGCACCTCTCTGCCCTTTTGGTATATATCTTTACTATGCCCCAACCCCTCTCCCTCCTCATCAACTCTTCATTCTCTCTCCTCCTCTGCAAATACTCAGGTACTCTCTCTCTCTCATGCATTCTGATCATGGTGGCAGCTGTATAGCATCTCTCCCTATCTATCTTCTGTCTCTCTTACTCTGGCCTACTACTAGTTCATTATCACTTCTCCTTTTCTTTCTCTTGTACTCTGCTATTCTGAATTTGGTAGGAGCCACATTCTCTCTCTCTCTCTCTCTCTCTCTCTTCTCTCTCTCTCTTCATCTCCATATATGCTGCATTGTCCTAGTTTTCTCTCTATTTCATTTTAAAAAGATTTAGATGTTAGATCTACACTAGGCATGGGCAATTACTGGTTATTTCTCTAGCTCTTGAATCTTATTTCTCAGTCATGAAACAAGTTTGAAATTCAGTGGATGCTGAAACTGACCCATAAAGCTGTATGTTAGATCTGCTAACCCATTATGCTTTCTTTACCCCTCTTTTCAATGAATGAAAAAAACCCAGCCAACCAAAATTGATTTTTGAGTTCTAGATCTGTTAGTGAGAGGAACTGTTGTGATTTTGTTGCAGGTTTCTGGGTCTTCCTCTGATTTCAAGGCATTCAAGAAGGGGAGGAACCATGAAAGGGAAGATGAAGCTTTCAGCCATGGCTATTGCTTTGGCTTGGTTACTCTTCATGGATTCAACAAGAGCCGCAACTGTCTCATCTCCATCTCCATCTCCAGCTCCTGCTCCTGCTCCCGACTATGTGAACCTCACTGAGCTCTTATCAGTTGCAGGCCCTTTCCATCTCTTTCTTGAAAAGCTTGAATCAACCAAAGTGATAGATACCTTCCAAAACCAGGCCAACAACACGGATCAAGGGATCACCATTTTCGCCCCAAAAGACAAGGCATTTTCCTCTCTCAAGAAGCCTTCCCTCTCTAACCTCACCAGTGATCAGCTCAAATCGCTCATGCTTTACCATGCTATACCAGAATACTACTCCCTAGCCGATTTCAAAAACCTCAGCCAACAAGGGCCAACAAGCACATTTGCAGGGGGCCTATATGCTCTTAATTTTACAGACAATAAGGGAAGTGTTAGCCTTGATTCAGGGTGGTCACAGACATTGATCAGTAGTAGTGTGTACTCAACTCGACCAGTAGCCCTTTACCAGGTCGATAGTGTTCTTTTGCCTGAGGCCATTTTTGGAAAAGCCCCACCTCCTGCTCCTGCTCCTGCTCCAGCCCCTGATACCTTCACCCCAGCTGATGTTTCTCCCTCTGGTTCACAGGAGAACCCTTTCTCCCCAAAATCTTCTCCCTCTACTTCTGCTAATGCAGCTGCTTCTCGACCGGTGGCAATGACGGCCCTGTTCTCCCCTGTTGTTGCCTTGGTGCATTTGCTTCTTGTGGCTGGCGGTGTGGTGGTATTGTAATGTAATGGGGATGTGAATGATCTCTCTCTCTCTCTCTCTCTCTCTCTCTCTCTCTCTTAATTTATACCATTATGTTGGGGCATTTTGTTTTTGAGGGCTTGTATACCAGTTGCCTGCTTTATTGCATTCCACAGATAGAGATGGGCCTTCAATTTTATTCTGGTTATTGCTTGAATTCTTTTGAAAGACCTGTGCTACAATGTTATATGATCTGTAGCGGACTCTGTTTATTATTCCTTTGGCTCCTCTGTTTCAACAAATTTCAATTGTTTTGCCTTCTGACTTGGTGAAATCTTGAATGAAATCAAGAGTAACAGATGGGGCTGCATGAGTTTTCATTAAATAGATCACAAGGCTTCTTTGAGTGTTTAGGGTTGTTTCCTGCTGTTGTAAGAGAGACAAAGTGAGATATGTTTATTGGAATTCTGGGAACTGTTTGTTGTAGAACCTGGCTCTTGCAGTTGCGTCATTATGGCCCCTAATAGAGATTCTCTATAAATATGTGATATTATGTAATGACTCAATGTTTCACCTTCTGGCAGGTGAAAAGCCAATTCAATCAAGAGTACAAACAGATTGGTTAATAGATGGTTAAAGCATTTCTTTCATTAAATTGCAAAAACCTCTGAAACATACTAAGATCCAAGGAGATCCGGTAAGAATGTTGCCAAATCTCAACAATGCCCAGCAATTTTAATGGGTTAAATACACATTAGAATGCTATCTGCAAACACTGTTAAGAACATCAGAAAAGCCATTGCATTTCTTCAATCTCCAAATCCCAACAAAACAGAAGTCCTCATCACATTGGCTCCCTCCAAAACAGAAGTCCTGATCCAGTGACATCACACGGTGGCCCCAGTTTCATCTCTAACGCAGCCCTGTAAAAATGGCAAAAATAATTCATTGTCAGACCAATAAATACGCCTTAAGAAAAATATGAAGGTACCCAATCAACCTGAGAAAGCAAGATATTTGGGCCTTTTGGTCTATAATGCATACAAGTTCATGACTAAAGAATCAAACGATCATGAATAAATAATCAATCTATTGCTGCTTTCCATGCCAGTATGAGCAGAAACAACGGCCCCTTTTTGGCAGGCAAAATGATAGCGCACCCCTGCTTAGCTTTATGGAAAATCCTTAAAAAAATTGTAGTCTTAAATGGTCAGTCATATCAAAGAAGTAATGCTTTTCTGGGGTCTTAGGGGCATTTTCGCAGCATTTGGGGAACAAACAAGGTAACAAAAAAGAAGCACCACAGTAAATGGTGGCAGACCAAGCTGGGACACATCTTACTCTTAAATGGGTATATGTCACTAGCAGAAACTTTCTAAACTTACATGAGGTCAAATGGGGCCTCAATTCTTCTCTAGCTGCACTAAAGAGAATGAATAATAGGAAGAAGAGGCCAAACACGCACACACTTTCACACTCAGACCCACACCCACATGCGCGTGCCTGAGTTAGGCCCATATAAACTGCCTCAGCATTTCTCAAATAAATCAAGCTCTTGTTTCTACGAGGATTTTGTGTGCAGGACCACCGGAAGGATTTTCTAGTAACAGTTTTCCTCTTTAAATTGGTGAACAGAGTCTCAGATTACAGCAATTGCATTGACAAAGCTAATAAGCATTAGTTACCCAACTAAAAAGGTACACACCTAATTCATGAACAATAATAATTTACAGGTTATAAGCTTAAAATATGATTGGCATGTAACTTAAGCAAATTGTTTGTTGTAGACCTCCCACTTACCAAATTGATGTCCTTTTCAGCCTCAATAATCTGTATGGAGTTGAACCATCACACATAATAATTGAATTTTAAATACAATCCCTTCAAGCATATTTTAATTGGCCCATTGCACCATATAAATAAGAAATATTCAATGTGAATGCTTATGCGTAATTATGGTTAAGATATTGGAGTTTAGTCCTCCAAGCCATAGAAATACATAAATTGCAGCTAACATCTTCGTGCAAAATGGGTAAGTGGGTCAAAACAGATAAACCATGTGCAGATTTACTGTAGGATAATCAATCTAGATAATTCCTACTTTGAAATCACAGAACGCATACTAAATGTACCACCTGATTTATTTATTTGTATCTTTATACAATGAACACGTCTTGGACACCAGGGAGTTTCTCATTTGATGATGACAGCAAGGAGTTTCATCAAACCAACAACAATGTAATAGGTTCCCAGTCCTTGGTACATAAAAAATTACACTATTATGGGGAAGAGTTTTAATATGGCATTACCTTGAAAATTTCTACATCTTTTAATCTTTCTGCATTGCAAGTATTTAGAATTTGAAAATACACATTAGAATAGAGGTCCCTACGTTCCCCTTCATTCCTAAAATACAAGGCAATATGATTGCATTAAGGAATCCAATGTAGAGAGAATATAGTTTATGAGTGGCCTGCAAATAACGAGAAATGGCTTACTATAGAATGTTTAAGGGGTATACGATGGCCACTCAATTAAACTATGTGTGACCTGTGAGTGATTGAAGATAACTTATATATAAGGCAAAGGGCCCCACATGTGCACAACCAAACAAGTACTAGGATATGATGCTATTGAGAAAGCGAGCTTTCTAATCATATGTGCATCTATTATGATGCTATTGCAGCAAGACACAATAGCATTCTTATTCTTTAAATATTTTCAGTTTCTGTTTGATATCAGGAAGTGTTTCCAGGATAACAAAGAAACATCTTATCCGGAAGTGTTTGCAGGATAACAAAGAAACACCATATCAGGAAGTGTTTCCAGGATAACAAAGAAACATCCTAAAGAATCTTGATTGACAATATACACCAAATTTGTAACATCTTACTTCAAATTTGGCAAGCTGTAAAGGCAATTCTTCCATCAACAATAAAAAACATATTAACGACATAGAGTTCAGAGTTAATGATCAAAAACCTATTTATCATAAAAAAGAAAAACTATCAAGAAGCGTGTGGCAGTTCTCTGCACGGAAGCTTTTAATTGAGTATCTGATTTCAAACATAAGCAAAACTTTAAGCGATAATTAGATTGACAGAAACAATACAGTAATTAGAGTATTCAAAATTAACATCACCAACAGAAGTAGTGGGACTTGAATCAGTGAAAATTTCATCAATAGTGGGGAGATGGAATTTACACTACCAAAGAAGGCTGTTGTGAAATACAGAAATGCCTGATGGGATTCCATAGCTTTTGGAATTTTCTGGGACTAAAGATGTTCAAATTGAGTAAAAAAAAGAACCATGAGTAGATTTTTACAATTCAATGTCAGATGCATGGTCAGCGAGTGTGACAAATTTCAGACATGATGCCAGGGGCAAGGTCGTGTCATATAACATTGTGATGCAGGCTAAGAGATTAAAATGTTTGGAGAACTTAAGGGAAGTTCTACATGAAACACAAATAGAATGCATGGATTACACGCTTGTCCTACAAATGCTTGACAAATAATGGCTAATGCATTGAAACGGAGGTTATGCCTAAAACTTTATTGGGAAACAAAGGGGTAACCCGGCAGAGTTCTTTTGAAGCATTGAAGAAATGCAAAAGACCCTTGGGGACAATACAAAGGGATGGAAATAGAATTTTTTTCTCTTTGGGAACATGCAAACTCAAGAGAAAGCTCATACATTGGGATTATGGGGGACAATGTTGCAGAAAAGTGGCACTTTTGTAAAGTAGAAAAGGTACCTAATGCAGATTTGAGAAATGATTCATAGAGAATTTCAAGTTAAAATACAAGTTCGCCAGACAAACCTTAAGGTTAGGGAGGGCAACCTGAAGTGCAATCAACTAGACTACTTCAAATTCATGAATCACATCACATATCTAGGAAATGTAACTGCAAATCAAAGTGTACTTGCAACTACAACTGGGGAAACTCTACAGCTTGTAAAACATTTTCGATCATGGCATGTAATCTAAAAGATGGAGTTGGCAAAGCTAAAGATGGAGTTGGCAAAGCTTTGTTTGAGATTAGTTTTGGTTAAGTTAATGGATCATGGGCAGTGTTTCATTGTATGTCCGACAACATAGAAGGAAAGAGAGGGAACTGCTTTCCAAATAATGTACAAAATGCTGCTTATTAGTGACATTTTGCAAAACCACGCCAATGGAAAATGCGGCAAAAGGGATGTCCCAAACAGTGGAGCATTGAACATCAACATGATGTCATGGATTTGCTAAAAAATAAACTCTACCCCTTCCAAAGTGGAGCCCAAGGTTTACTTCTTTCGTTGATTTATTAATTTTCAATACTTTTAAACTGACTTTTTTGTAGCATATTTCATTCAAAGAAAAAATGTTGAAAAATCTTATTTGCCACACACACCCACATGCTGAAAAATCTAGAATGGGGGAATCTCAAATCTTGTATATTACTTGTTATAGATACTTCAAAAGTAATCAGAGTGGTAGGGTATAAGAACATAACACAAAAAAGAAAAAATCTAAGTTAACACTACAAAAAAAAAAAAAGGAAAAAAAAAAGAAGGGAAAAAAAAAAAAAGAGAGGAAAGACCGTTGAGTGAATGATAATCAAATCCACTTGCAGATTCGGCACCAAGATGATGTATTAAACATGAGTTATGTCTTGAGTTCCATTCCTACCAGTTCCAGTCAACGTTTAAAAAAATCAAAGAAAAGAAAAATGATATCATGGAGTGAATGGTAATCAAATCGACTTGCATAATCAGGCACCAACATGATCCATTAAACATGAGTCATGTAGATAGTCTTAACTCTTAACATCAACTTTAATAGAACATGATAAGCAATCCAATATCTTCTCATCTCTAGAGTTGAAATTTCGAAGAGCATTATAATAGTGGGGTGGAATTGCATGGATGAAACTACGTTGATAAAAATATTGCTTTAGCTTATGCAATATATGATGATGGAAAAGAGAAAATGAGTTAGAGAGCACGAAATCAACATGAACATTGATGGCTCTTAAATACAACAATAAATGAAAGAAACGATGAAGACACTCAATATTTTAAAAAAACATACCACCCAACACCAAGGTGGTCCAAAAGTACCTGAGCGCTCGCCTAGGTGCCAAAGAACCCACCTAGGCAGGTTCCCAGTGACCAGCCTTGAGCAGCTGCCTAGGGTATGCGCCCCACCCAGGGGTAGAAATGCCCCTCATTGAGGGTATTTTTTTATCCTTTTTTTAATACTAAAGGATAAAATCGTGGTTTTACATTCATTTGAAGCCTAAACTCCAATAGAGCCTATTTTAGAGAGAGAAAAACCTTAAAAAACTAGTTCTTAGTAATTTTCATAGGATCAAAGGGTTTATTAAACTTACGAGAAATTGATCTAAGTATCACCCATTGATATTAGATTTGGTGCACTATCAGACTAAGGACTTATGGAGTATGGAGGAGTGTGTTCTATGTGGACTTGTGTACTATACATTTGATGTGCCCTAAATCCCTAACTCTTACGTATTATACGATTATACTTATATTGTTAGACTACAAACATTTTTCTTACTACTGGGCTGCCTAAGTTCTAGGCGCTCGCCTATGTACTGGGTGGCTTGGACCCTGCCGGACGCCTAGCATTTTTTGAAATACTAAAGACACAAGTTGAAAATTTGATAGAATAACCAAGAGGGAATCAAGAAAGCAAAGGGGTACCCTGAAAAGTGATCATGGCTCTATTACTAGCGAGTATAGTGGCAAAACCCGTATCCTTTTCACCATTTCTAGCTTAAGCTTGTGGGATTTAAAGTTTTGGGATGAGGGTGCCCCTTGATGGAATTGACCTCATAAAAGGAATCTCCAAGAAACTTTTTAAAACTTGGCATGTCAACTTTGGACTTGCATGCAATGTGCTAAAATGAACC